CATACAGGGTCTGTCTAGGGGCCATGAAGAAAAAGGCATTTCATAAAAATATCAATGCAAACCCGATTTCTGCCCACCCACCACCGCCACCCCGGCATCAGCCGGCACACGGTGGGGCATGGATGAGGGAGGGGGGTACAATCAATTAATCTGATCAAGCGCTTTAGGAAATGGAGAGCGTGAGCGATCCTCGGGGACGGATATCCATCTCCTTGGGATGATTGAATTACGCAGAGAGTGAGAGTTGCAGAGGAGGTAGGGCTGGAGAAATGAGGTGGTTAGGGTGACCGAGGATGAGGCAGCATGTGCTTTAGAATCACAGTGAGAGTGTGTGTGCGCTGGATATAAGGGAGGAAAGATAGGGGCAATGGGAATAAAACTGAGCAAGAGCAAAAGAGTGTTGGGTAAAAAAAAGAGAGATGAGGTCATTGATGGAACAGCACTGCCTCAGCCTCGTCCCATGAAACCATTTATATATATATGTGTATATATATTGACATGGACGTGTGATTTTGCTCTGTGGAATCACAGCAGAAATCAACTCTTTCTCTGTAGTAAATATTCCAAATGTTGTGTTGCCTTTTATTAAAAAAACATTTTTAATCTATAATATGTAAAATGTTTTTGTACCAAAAACACCAAATACCTTAAACACAAAACTAAAGGACTTGCAAGGCTGTAATCTAACCCTGCTTTTCATCATGCTTACTATATAGTTACCAGTGCAGTGCAACATTAGCTGTTTTCTCTCAGAAAAATATAAACACTAGCATAGATAGACTAGCGCTGATGTTCAGTCACTTCCTGTTTGTTGAATTAAAAAGTAATATCAGATTCCTTCTTATTAAAATAATAGTCATTATAATCACTATGGCAATGATTGATATTTGCTATCTGTGGGCTGTGCAAAATTATTTTGTTTTTTTTCTGTCTTTACAATAAGGAGATTGTTTCATTGGACTTGTAATGATATTTTGTGGAGGATTTACAGCAGAAAATCCCAGCATGGCATTACAATTTCCCCCAGTTAAGTCTTTCTGTGTTTGCTGCATTCACAACCAGCAGGAAATCTGAGCCTGTGTTGAATCCTATTAGTCAGTCTTCGTAGATAGTTTTTGCGGACAGCCACAATGCGGTGTAAGCGTTGTGTTGTAATGTAGCGTTCTACTCAGAGATGGAAAAGGTCCAAATAGCGCAGTGGCGTTTGTGAAATGACGTATCAGGGCCAAAGTACAGCTACTTGGCACTTTTACAAAAGCCGTTTTACGTACAGAAAATACCTCAAGCAAGTGAGACCGTCTGTTGTTTTGTAAGCTGAACAATATGGCGAAGAACGTACGGCTGAGAAATGGACGGCTCTTTTGAGAACGCCGCACTTGCAGAAAATGACCTTTTCTTCTACTTGTGTTGAATGCATACCGTACCTACTCTTCTACTCCCCGTGAACGATTTCTTATCTCTCGTGAGCATGAGAGCTTTGTCGGGGAACCTTTGAATAGACAGAGCAAAATGGGGTTAACCATGCGTTTTCTCCGGCTCCTCGGCAGAAAGCTGGATACTCTGGGGGGATAGTTCTGTGTCATAAGGAAAAAGATGAAACACAATAAGGGGGGAGAATATGAACAACCCCCCTGGGCCTACCCTGAGAGGGGAGAGCAGAGAGAAGGAAGGAGTTTAGATTGGAGCAGCGAAGAAGAAAAAACCCAAACACTTTTTCATCGGAAATGAATCTGACAAAGAAGAAGAAGAAGAGAAGTATACTGAAGGAGGGAGGTGGAAGAAAAAAAAAAGCTGTTAACAATATGGATCTGGCTAAGTATCAGGACCACTCTGGGCTGCCTCCCTGGAGGATATAAATTGTTGCATGACCGCTGGGTGGAAGTGTGATGAGCTCGGCTGTTGCCATGCTGTTGGTGTGACCGCAGGAACAGAGAGGGACTGTCGGTA